TGTCCAACCATGTGACAACGTTTCATTTAAAGTTACAGATGATAATGAGTTTTTCGCAATAACAGAAATTGGGAAAATAATGTCGATGAAAATACTGGACAAAGTGTTCCGAGAGTTGCTGTTATTTCCTTTCCAGTCTAAAGCAAAAGTACATGGTGCCTCACAAAAACCAGGAAATTTTAGATTTACTACATTATGAAAAAAAACTTACCGTAAGGGGTTTACTGTTACACCAACTTCATTTACAAAGAAGGGAGAACACAGAGATACAATCCTTAAGAACAGTGTTAATAGAAGGTTGGAACACTAATCCGTTTGACGTTATCCAAAGGCCGACAAGAGGTTAGCTAGACAGTCTACGTCGTTGTGCATGTGCCCATGGAAGGCGTTTTGAACACCACTCCTAATATTCGTGTTTTTCTTCTGTTTTAAGCTACTAAATTTCTTGCTTTTCTTTCAACTATCTATAACAAAAATTTCAACAATTAAATAAACTATGCCAAATTTCTTTTTTTTGCCTTTTTTTTTTGTGGGCATCCTGTGGAAGATATTACAGGGAAGCGAGAAGAAAAAACTAAACATCGATTATAAATAAAGAGAGAATGCATGATTGTCAGCAAAAGGAAAAGTTCAAGATTAAATATGCCAATTGAAGACGCTGAAATTTCCAATAATACGAGAAGAAGAAGAAGAAGAAGGGGGAGGGGTGGAGAAAAAGGAGGGGGATAATAAGGGAGAAGTTGGAAGGGTGAGGGTGAAAAAAGGAGGAGGAGGAGTGAAGAAATCGAAGAAGAAGAAAGTGGAAAAAAGTGAAAACGAGGGGTGAAGGAGAAGAAGGCGGAGTATAATCAAGGGAGGAGGAAGGGAGGAGGAGGACAGGTGGGATGAAAAGGGGAGGAGGGAAGAAGAAGAAAAAGAAGAAGGTGGAAAAAAAGATTAAGAAGTGGTGGAGGAAAAGAAGTAGGAGGGGGATAATGAGGGGAGGAAGAGGGGAGAAGGAAGAAGGGAGGGGTAAAAGAAAGAAAGAAAGAAAGAAAGAAGAAGAAGAAGAAGAAGAAGAAGAAGAGCAACAACAACAAGAACATGGCCTGGCTAACGAAACAAGGCAATAATGCAAAAATCCGCGTCATTGGTCTATAGAAAAATAATGAAAGCTAGAAATATTTGAACAGTATTAATCGTTGGATATGCAGGAAGCTCCCTAGATTGTTAAAAATGGTCGATGGTTTGATGAACCAAAGTTGATGAATACTAAATGGTATACGAAGAAAATTAAAACGGAAGTTTTCCTATAAAACTGTTAGAAAGATTAAAACTCGATTTGCAAACTACGATCATCCGAGGCAATATCACAGGAACTATTTTTCTTCTTTATGTAAACCGTCTCTTCAGGACTTATGTAGATTATTATTTCCTCACCATCTCTTGCCTTCAATATGTCTTTTGAGTATGACATTTTCCAAGACCTCTTTCCTTATTTTGTGGTCTAGAAATTCCAGCTGTCTCTTCCTGGTGATAAATATAAGTTTCCTTTTTGTTTACATTTCCTCTGAAACTTCGACGTTGCTCCCATGTTCGATCAATAGTATCCTCAGCATCCTTCTGTAGAACCAATCGTCTGTTGCTTCTCTTCTTCAACTTTGAAAAAGATTTTCCAACCCTCACTACCATACAGGATGGGAGATATCAGTTAAAATTTTAGTTCTCTTTTCCTTGATTCTAACGAATCTTATTTTTTTAATTCTCAGTACTAAGCTTAGCTTTCAGGAGGCGTCTTTAATTATTTCAATACGACTTCGGATTTCAGTTTAACACTTTCCGTCCTCAGCTAAATCACTTTCTTAATATTTAAACTTCCTCACTTGTTTAATTTTTGTATTCTGATTTGCAGTTCGAATTTTGAATCTCGTCATATTCTATCAATCATATATTCAGTCTTCTTGCAGCTTATGTTTAATTCTTTTCTCTCGCTTTCATCTACTACGTTCTAGAAGAGTTTCTTTCTGTGTTTGCTCTTATAGTACGTTATCAGTTATAGTGAAGTGTATGAGCGTTGAAACAAATTAGTTCGATTTGGCCACGTTAGTTTGATCGCCCACCATAAGAGGGGTATAAAACAAGAAAATCAAATTGTAATACTGAAAAAACAAATTTATATACATGTAAATCAATTAATGTCTTTAAAATAAAATTAATGTATTTTGGTTGATACAAGGTCGTCAAAATGTTCGTAGTAGTCCTTGCAAGAATGAGTTTATGTGTACGTAGGCAGGAACGTATGTGTGGATGAATGTATGAGCGTTATCAAGGGGTAGGAATATCTTTGAAGCAATCGCTCAGTCTTAAAATGTTCCGTTCGTTTATCAAGTATAAAAGAGGTGCGGAAGAAAGGTGGAGTTAATAATAACTATCGCTTGACGTTTGTCAAGGGACTTGTTAATACGCTCGTCTGCTTCTCTCTGGTGACAGGTGAACTTTCCTGTCTTTTATTTTGTTTGCTGGGTTTGAAATGGTCATTTGGGAATTTACTCCCGGATATGTTTCGGGCATTTCCATTGGATGACGAACAAGCTTGTCGGCTCTCGAGAAGGTACGTAAAAGAATTTGTTTCTCTGAATGTAAGATTATTTGAATTTTGTTTTAAAATATTTCCTAGTGCTGTATTAGCTGAAAAACATTTCGCATCAATAACACAAGTTTTGTTTTGGATTTGCATTTGCGGGTGTGTTAAGCAAAATTTGTAAATTCGAGTTTTTTTTTTAATTTCTACCAAAATCAGTGATTCAGTGCTTAGCATTTGAATTTTTAAATCTAGATCTTGTTTTGTTCACTACACACTGAATATCGTGTCACCTGCATATCACATGCTGTTAAGATTTTGGTCGCCAGTGAGAAGAATCACCCTTGTCCTATAGCCGTCTCTATTGATGTATATCTGGTAAACTGATTTTCTATCCATATGCAGGCGTTTTGCTGCCAGTATATGTCATGGGGATATTAATATCCTTCCCCAGTTCCAATAGTTCTTTGTGGTATACCTCATTAGACGCCTTTGCGTAATAGATAAAACGCAGGTACACGTCCTTCTGCATTTGTATAATGCTTTCTGATAACATACTGAACATTAATATCGCGGTCAGGGTTCCAGTGTATTTAAACGAAGCTGAACTGTTCCTGTTCTATTTCCGATATATATATATATATATATATATATATATATATATATATATATATATATATATATATATATATATATATATAGCCTACTCCAACTCAAGCAAGGCAATAATGCAAATAAAATAAAATTGATAATTGGGAGTGGAAACAATGAGAAGACCTTAGTCTTTTCAGCAACACTTATTGAATAATGGTGGATGGTAGATATATAATACAATAGGTAAAGAAGTATTGTAGCAATATAATATAATAGGTAAAGAAGTATTGTAGCGACAGCGGGTCGAGGCATGGAGTGCAGACAGGGCTTAAGAATAACTTCGGCGGAGTGACAGTTGAGACAAGAGAACTGTAGAATTTCATCTATGAGTCGATAAATGTTCATCGCTTTTCTCAAGAAACGTTAGAAATGTTAATTTCATATTGTACAAATCGAGAGAAATTGAAGAAATTTACGAACGACTCCGCTGGTCACTGAAACAATGGGCAAACTTCCAACGGAATATATTCGTGCATCATATTCCATCTCGATTAAACGGTTTCATCGCACAATACATCAGATAGATTGCATTCTATTGGGTTCTGACGATCTTCCGTAGTGGTAAACTTTGAAAGGGACACTTTTACCACAACACAACATGTGTTGCTACAGCTTATTTGAAGTAGAGAACATCGCCATTTAAATTACGTTTGTAACCCTTTTGGACAAATCGTAGAGTTCGTGTCCGGAGGAGACTGGTCAAGGCAAACCAATTAACATGGTGTCACATTTTAGTGTATTTTTAGAGTGTGCTTGAGCAAGCAATAAAATTGGATCTTGCCTGATATGTGACATAAAATAGATGTTCTTACACATTCGAAACACATTATGATCACAATTTTTCACCGTCGTTATAGCAAAATAAATCAGCTCATCCATCTTGCACAGACGGCAAGAAACTAGTTTCAGCCGATTGTCTCTCACACATAAACATGATTAAAAACCTCACACTAAATTTCCTGGCAACCACAAATTCAAATTATGTTTATGAATATATCTGCAATATGCTTGATATAGGTATAAATGCAAATACTCCAATAGATGAAAGTGAGGTCAGTGTAGCGCGTATTGTTGGCGAAACTTCAATCGGCGATGTGAATACCGATGGCGGTCTAATCTGGTGCGTTTCTTTTCGCATAAATGTATTTGAGAAAAGTATCTCTCCGTATTTTGTCACTTCCACCAGATATGGAATAAGCAGGGTAGGCTGTGATGTTTAGCCTTGGCTGTCAGTCACTATAAAAGAAGGAAAACTGAATTCCTGTCTGTGTAGAACATAAAAAGAAAACACTCCTCTATCTTTCCCAAGAAATCATAACAAATCAGAGATAGAGAAAAGGAATCAGTGTAGTGTCATGATAACATATATCCTAAAACAACATGGCGTTTTGAAAAGTAATATTCCGCATCACGTAAACTTCGTATCGCATTGCTTAGCTACAAGAAAGAGGGGCCTATTTATTAGCCGTTTCTAACTTTTTGGTATTTGATTTGATTTCATCCAAGTTAAATGTTATTCTTAAACCCGACATGTATTTCAACGTCTACTGTCATTATTTGTATTTCAGTTTTCCTGACTGTCGCAATTCTCATAGTGTGTTGCTTGCTTTCTCCATTGAGCCGATGTTCTGCGTCTAAAAGCTCTGCCGTTATTTTTTTTCTGTTTTTATGGTTACTTTTGTCATTGCTACATTTGTAGCTACGCTTATTTTTTTTCCTTTTGCCAACCTTTTTTCCCACCATTTCTTCTTTTACTTTTCCATTTTTACTTCTATTTAATTTCTTTATGTTTTCGTGTTCTGAAAACGGGAAAGGAACTATTTCTTTTTTCTTTTTTTCTTTCTTTCTTCTTTCGTTCTTTCTTACATGCAGTAAACCGTTTCATTTTTTCCTTTTAATCATTTTTTTCGATCACGTGCACGCTATTAAATTATTTGTTTCCTAAAGGTTTCTTCATCTAAATGTGTTTCCTTCTTTCGCTTTCTTCCCTGAAAATTCTTTGCTTCCCTTAGCTTTCTATTTTTTCTTTCTTTCTTTTTTCATGATTATTCAAAACCAACAACCTTTTTTCTTTTTTTACGAGATTTAGCTAACTTTCTTTTTTTCTTTCTTTCTTTCTTTCTTTCTTTCTTTCTTTCTTTCTTTCTTTCTTTCTTTCTTTTTGTCAAACCGCTCGACATGTATTTTCTTCCGTTATTTTTTTGTTTTTTGTTTTTCGATCCGGCGCATATTATTAAATTGTTTCTCGTTGGTTTCTTTTTCTACATTTCTTACCTTCTTCCTTTTTTTTACCTTTTAAGCTAAAAAATCACAGTTCCTTTCTTTCTTTTTTCTCTCTATTTTTCCTATCTTAATAAAGGACTCAGAATTTCTTTCTATCTTTCTTTCAGTCTGCTAGGCGCTTAATTCATTCAGTTTTTTTCTTAATTATCTTTCAATCTTGCGTACACTATAATTTTTTTTCTTTTTTTTCCCATCTTCATTGAAGTGTCGCAATTTCTTTCTATTCCTTCTTTCTTACAGATACAAGCCTTTCTCTCTCTTTCTGTGATTCTTTTTTCTTTCTTTTTCTATATTTTTCCTTTCTTATTTCACTCTCTATACTTGGATATTCCCTTTACATTACCGCCTATTTTTCCTCCAATTTCTCATTTTTATCAATCATTCCTCCTCTTTTCTTTCCGTCTTTTCTCCGACCATCTGCTCTTTCGCAGATATTTTTATCAGTCAGTCTGTCAGCCGATTTGATTCAGTTAGTTCAAATTGTTCGGATGGCAGTTCAAAGACAAACGTTCAGACATTTTGCAAATGCAATCAAACATAAGAGAAAAGCATGCACACATCCCATTACCTCTGTTCCAGTCAGGTTTCCTAATTCAAAGACTTTCCTCTTTTACGTTCACCTCTTCATTCTCCTTCAGATATCTTTCTTCAAAACTCCTCTCTAATATCCCTTCTCTCCGTCTCTTTCTCTCTCATTAAGAGAATGCAAATCACTTTGATCGTCGTATTTGAAAGGCTTCATTTGTTAAAAGCCTTATTCGGCCAACTGATAAAACCGATGAAGTAAAAATTAAGACATTTTTGTAAAAACATTTTAATATAAATGAATAAAAGGTAAACAAACTGAAGACTTTAAGAAAAAAAAGTAAAAAAAAAAAAAAACATACACACATATCAGAAAATTCAAATATTTTTCGACAATTATTTGTTTTACTGAAATTCTGGTTTTGGTAATTTCAGTTCTTTTTTTTAATTTGACTTGGAAGATGTTAATATTCTTTGCCCCTCGAAAGGAAGACATCATATGCACATATTTCATAAATTCTTACGAAGGCAGCATTATATATATATATATATATATATATATATATATATTGAACAATAAAAAAATATAAAAAAATTAAAATCTTCAGACACTCTGGGTTGTAGATTCATATTCTTTCGTTTCTTTTTATTATTATTTCATTTAGATTCCTCGACTAGTTTCGGCCAACATGGCCATCATCAGGAGAAGAAAAAAATTCTGCTTGTGTTGGTCAGTCTTTCTTAAGTTGTTATTTGAGATATACTGATCTGAATCCCCTGGTCAGTTATATATATATATATATATATATATATATATATATATATATATATATATATATATATATATATATGTGTGTGTGTGTGTGTGTGTGTGTGTGTGTAAAGTGAAAGTAGTGAACTTAAACCATATAATTGTTGAATAATATTTAATTTTTAAGATTTGTGCTTTTATTTATAAAGGTATATGTTTCTTTACGATTTATTAATTGATATTAAAATGCTTCTTAATTTTTACCCTTGGACTTTCGTGGCTGAACGGTAAAGGATGCCTGATCACCGATTTGATCCATGCTGGAAGACACATATTCCTTATTACGATTTCTCGAATACGCACGCCGATAGAAGAATACGCAATGTTTAATAAATAAAAATATGGTGTCTACTATAATAATGTTTGAAGTAATAACATGTTTAAGTATGCTATATGGGTGTGTGGTTAGAACGTTCGGTTTCTGACCAGGAGAACACGGGTTCGAATCACGCCATAGTTGATTTGTCAGGAAGGAGACTTCCTGAAGTTATCGGTCTTGACTGTGGGGAGAGAAATCCCAGAGTACAGCACCATTCGAAAGTGCTTGAAAACTTGTGAGTGAAATTGTGTAGACGGAACACTTGGAGGACTGTCGATAGCTGTACTAGCATGAAGTCACGAGTCATCGTGACCGAGGCTTTGAGTGTGCTGGCCTTGTTCAGATTGTTGATCACGCTAGATAACACACTCTCTCCCAGAAACTGTAACTAAGGTCTGCTCAACATAGTTGCTGTATAAACCACAGACGGGCTTGAGCGAGAGTCTGAATTACCAATTGGAAATCACCCTAGTAGACGGGTATCCTACAATACGAAACTGTTATACATGCGTATAAAATACGAAATATTTGAACATAATTTCCATCGCCAAATTTTCTCTCTGCTTTCCATTAAAATAAACCGAATTAAAATCTCATAGCTTATCGAAATATAAGATTTGTTTTCATTTTTTACGAGAAATCTATTCACATTTTATCTCGTTTCGTAATCAGTTTTGACAGAACGATTTTCACACAAACGAATTCAAATTTGAGGTGAAATTTACCAAAAAATTTCTTCAGCTAATTTTAATGAAAATTTCTGAATCACAAGGAAGAATTTGTTTTGAGGGTTATTTTATTTTGACTATCATAGATTCAATCAGAATTTGCAATTTTAATTGAAATATGAACATTTAAAAAAGTGGTCTGTAGGTTATTCGACACGTCCGTGTATATAAATTGAAGACTGAATTGCAGATTCATGAAATATATAAAGAGATATTTCATCAACAGAACGAAATTTAGTCGATCTTGGAAATAATTCGTAATTTTGTTTTGTTATTGTCAAACATATAACTCCATAAAAAGACAGAAGTGTTATAATCAGTAATCACACAAACATGCATATATATATATATATATATATATATATATATATATATATACACACAAGGACACATAAAGAAAGACACAAACACGCATATATATATATATATATATATATATATATATATATATATATATATATGCGTGTGTGTGTGTGTGTGTGTGTGTGTGTGTGTGTTAGGGAGAGCAAGATCTTCATTTCATTTGTGTACTATATCTATGTATTTGTATGTATATATCTATATCTATATACATGTGTGTGTATTACTATGTATATATATATATATATATATATATATATATATATATATATATATATATATATATATATATATATATATATATTTTGGATAGATGTGAGTTTTAACCCTGGGTTTCATTGTTTTTAACGATCGTCAGACAAACTGATTAATTTTTAAAAATTAATAGGTTTGTCTGACGATCACAAAGCGTGAAACCCTGGTTAACCAAATCACATCTATCCAACCAAATATGTTAGCTCTATCTGTGATATTGAGGGCTTTCTAATAAGTACCGCGCATATAATATATAAATAATTATATATATATATATATATATATATATTTATTTATATACACACTTTTCACACACACACACACACACACATATATATATATATATATATATATATATATAGTAATACACAGATATATATATATGCGTGTGTGCGCGCACACACAGATATATATATATATATATGTGTGTGTGTGTGTGTGTGTGTGTGTGTATATATATATATATATATATATATATATATTTGAACAAAGATTTAATTCCACAAGCAGTGTGCGATGGGTAAATTGTCCCTATTTTATATTTTAATTGTGCACGTTCTTTGTTTGTTTTGTCTTATTTTTTAACTGCACCGTATAGTACGGTCATTTCGGCATCGACTGTGAGAAAAAGACCACAATAACTGCCAGATATTTAGAAACGGCATGCTGTACTGCTTGGCATTCGTGCCAGAAGCTCCTGCACGGACATTCCAGAATGTTTGGTTGCCAATCTGAGGAAAGTGCAGAGGATTCGGAAAGAGTTAGATGCGTATAACGATGATTACGAAGGAGTTTGAAGTGATTACCATTGATAGCGAAATTATGCCTCGTTTCGTCTTTCCACAGTGCCTCAGAGTCATAACGGAGACCTATATCTATTGCCTTGTCTGGTAACAGGAATCTGCACAATTTCTCACAAGTAGGAGGACACATTCACAGCTATCAGACAATTTCTGCCACTACACCACCCCTTACATGTGGACACCCAATTCTGCAAACTGCTACACATTTGATTATTATTTGTGAGCCGCAGTTGATCGAGAGGGCAACAAAATTCTTTCTAACACCAAAGTTGAACTGAAGGCAACGTATATAGCATCACTGATCACCTTAAACAAGCAAACCCTCCAGAAGAGATGAAAGAGACTCCGAAGTCGTCTGGAGGCCGTAGTTTTATTGAATAAATTTATTTTTTATTATTTCAAGATATTGTTTTATCATTTTTGTAAATACACCCTTGTGCAAATTAATTGAAACAACACGAATAATTCCGTCATTATTTACTTTTTTTCGTATTTTCCCAATGAAACATGATCCAGTGCATATGTTAGTATTTGTTATAACCCAGGAAAGGATACTGAATGAGGAATAACCAAAACGGAGTTTGGAAATGAAATGGTAATTTTTATAGCTTCAACAAAATATAATACTCGCCAGCGGTGTGATATAGGTAAACCACTTCTAGTGCTGGACTACTTAAACGGCATATTACCACCACTTGCGATAGTTTTCGATGTGTTTATGAGGATTGGGACATACCCATTATTCATAGGCACAGTATATAACAGTACTCCGTATGCCCATTCCACGAATTCTTTCCTTGCAGATTGACAACAGATTATCGATTGAATTTAAATTAGGAGAGTTTCCGAGCTAGTTGATAGTACTTTGATTTGCTCACTGGTACGACTTGCCAATGTCTTCGTACAACGTTACAATTCTCGTCCACTTACTTGGAGTAACATCCATCGCAGACATTATCCGTAGGACAACGGATCGATAGTCGAGATAATAGTGTATGGGCGTGATGAAAATCTGATGCAATCAGGGATGACACAATATTTTTCAAGGCCAAACAAATTTATCATACACCGCTAAAATAGATTCATATTACTGCACCCACTGCAAATGACGTAATCCGAGAAAAAAATAGAAATCGATTGTATCCTGTGACTCCAGTGGGTCTAAAACTGGCTGTGTATGAAAGAAAGGAGACTAAATCGGTTGTTTAAATTAATTTGCACAAGAGTGTATATCTGTGAAAATGAGAAGTTTCATTCTTGCGCAATTTAGACGACAATTTATCCATCGCAACCTCAAAAAAAGATTTTTAATTTTAAAAGCTGAAATATTGCACACACACACACACAAAAACAAATTTTATTTTAATCAATATTTACTGTTGTTTTATGCCTCTTAAAATGATTTCTTCAATAATTATATTTTAAAGATAGGGAAAACATTTTTCTATCTGTTTAAATTCATGTCTAGAACCACTCATGGAATTTAAAAAAGAAAATTTACAGGTTTGATACATTGTTCATGTCTTCGGAAATTTCGATATGATTTTCAATTTATATACAAAAATAGAAAAGTTTGTAAAACAAGGAGAAAAGAAATCACACAAATACAAGAATTTAAAAATCTGGGAAGTGTTTTAACACAAGACGGACAGTGCGACACTGAA